TTACTAATTTGAATTAGTGACTCACTTTTTGCTTCTGAATTAGTAAAATTTTACTATAATTATTAGTAACTTTTACTAACAATTAGTAAAATTTAACTAATTCTAAAGCAAAAAGTGAGTCACTAATTTCAATTAGTAAACATTTTTACTAATTCAGATTTAGAGAGAAGTAAATATAAAGTATAGTAAATGGATAAACGAAGAGGGATAAATTCGCGCCTGCGCAGAAGACACTCTAAATCTGAATTAGTAGTTTTCTACTAATGAAAGAGTGCGGATTCGTTTACCAATTGAATTAGTAACAGTTTTGACTCTTTTTTAGTAGAAAACTACTAATTTATGGAGTAAATCATATTTTTTACTATTTTAAATTAGTATGCCGATTTACTCCATTAATTAGTAGTTTTTCACTAGCAATTAGTAGTTGTCTACTAAAAAAGAGTCAAAACTGTTACTAATTCAATTGGTATAAAAATCGGCACTCTTTCATTAGTAGAAAACTACTAATTCAGATTTAGAGAGCAAGAAAAAGATGATCATCCAATCATCAATCGCATATTTTTTTTTTAATATTCTGCGCAGGCGCAAATTTAACCTACTAATTTCTCCAGCTTAGTTTATCCATTTGCAATGAAAACAGTCTCATATTATTGCAAAGTCAATGCAAGTTATTGTAAATGTCTCCTAATATGGATTTAAAAGGTATATATGACGCGCGTGAAACAATAATTGATCAAGAACTTTGATTGAGCGTGAGTCTTTTGCATATAAATATATATATGAATATCGCGAAACGATGATCGCGTATTATCGAGAAATGATTGCGTTGAAATAATGTTACAGCACACCGCACCGGTAGTGTATTATATTGCTACGATTCTCACGGCTTTGCGAGCATTGATCGCGCAACCTGCGCTCATTGGTCTCTTTGCCTCTTGGCGATATGGAGAGCGATCTTGATGATCGAACGAAAAAAGAATCTTTCTCGCGCAATATAATGATCGCCGCATGCGAAAGAGCAACCCTTCTTTCCCGAGCTATAAACACGATTCGACGTGAAACGTCGTCAGGACATGTACTTAGCGAAGGCAAATTGAAAAATCAACCGACATATGTGGCTTTAAGTAATTTCAAGCGCAAAAGTTATAATGCTCTATACATATATATATATATATATATATATATATATATATAGAATGAACGATCGCCATCAGATGTTGATAGAGATCGAGCGAGACGTAGGTGTTCTCTTCCACCTCTCTCATTATATGGTCTCAAGTAACCGTTAACGAGGTGCTGAATAATATTGTTTTGTCAAGAGAGAACAAACAACCATTTCGTTAATGCCACAGTGAGATGAAGATAATCTTCAAAATGAAGTGCGACATCAAAATGAGGTGGAGTTTGCCAAGCAATTTTATAATACAAGTCTTTATATATATATATTTTTCGCTTCGATAACCATCTAATTCATGGTTCTTGCTACACGAAACGTACACACTTTTTTTTCAAAAATATTTTCAATAATTAAGTTTCTTTTTTCTCCCATTATTATTAATAATTTAGCAATAAAATTCTAATTAATGGCAACATTTTTTTGAACCCATAAATTATGCACGAAAAGACTTTGATTACCATTTTTCATTAAACTAACCAGAATTTTTTAATGAATTTTTCCCTTCGTAGTATGATTTTAAGCCCAAATTGATTTTAAAATTCAGTCATTTTAAGAGGTATAAACGTAGTCATACTTTGTTTTTCTGTGTAAAATATTTGTTTGATAAAAAAAAACAACTGAAAGGGAAGAAAAAAAGGATGCTTCTTTTTATTTTTAAAAATAAAAATTTCAATTTTGTCCATTTGTCTGACTTTAGAGCGTATTATTATTATTCGCCTGAATGGAATGCCGGATACACACCTGTGATCAGTCCAGGTTGCGGAACACCAGGGGCTTTTGAAGGGATATATATTCAATGGACTATAACGTCTCCTCACTAGATCGTCAGCTTGAGACTTATAACCCATTGATCTATCTTGCGAGATCAGATTGATATCTTGATTTCTTTCTCCTTGGAGTATATACATACTAATCCTCTTTTAACCGTGCCTCATTCTCGTTCCCTTTAACACGAAACAAATTGTCAGCCGCACAGAGAGATAGAAATTAAATTGACTTACACACCCAAAGATTGCACCATCCTAATATTGCACTAACGCCATCGAGTCAACATTGTTCGTTTCAACTATATATATATATATATATATATATATATATATATATATATAATGTTAAAGTTGGAAAAAAAATCTCACCACTGCCACCAAAGTGCAAAAAATAAGCCTAATGATTATAATTAATTATAATAAACTCATTTTTTTCACTTTGGTGGCAGCGGTGTGATTTATTTTTTACAATTTCAACTTTCAATCGACGCGTTTTCTTTTTTAATGAATTGATGTCAGGTCAATAATAATAATAATAAGCAAAAGAAGAAATGGTATTGAGAAAGAAAATGAAGATTTAAAAAACACTTGAGATCTATGGAGTATATATATATATATGACTATTTACTTATTTATTATATTTCATCTATAGAAGTACACCATCCGGTTCTTGCGGCAGCAAATAAGAAGAGCTAACGACTCTAGGGTGTAGGTCAGGAGAGAAACAGAGACACCGTTGATCAAACAAATCGATGTCTCTTCCATTAGCTAAAATTTACATTCCCACTTAGCAATCGAACGTCATGTATGAAAGTCGCGATTGTTCTTTTTTTTCAACTGAATTTTAAATATAGGTCGCTAATGCACCATATACCCTAAATTACTGAAATGCAGTAAATTTACATATACACAAATTTAAAAATATCAAATTGATACAAATTTTTATATCAATTTGATATTTTTGGTATCAATTTGATACTTTTAAATTAGTGTGTAATTACCAATTTTTTTAATTTGAATAAAATGTATAGAAAAAACAATTTTTTCATTTGGTATATATTATAATATTTATGTGACGCTTCACGAGAAAAGGGACCTTACGTCAAAAAAATTGTAGGTTATGTTTAGTGACGAAAGGTCCCTTCTCTCGTGGAGTGTCACATTATTATAGAATATTTTTATTATTATTTAATTAAAATTCTTCTTGTGTGTGATTATTAATTAAAAGAAAAAAAAATAAATACGTCACATTATCAATTGAGTATATTTAATTAATGATTTTGTTAAAGTGTTTATCTCCTCCCACTTTGATTTCCATGGTCCCCCACTATATAAATGAACATTAACGATCACTTGACTTTAATTGAGGGTTAAATCAATATTTTTCAATCGTCAATAAAGTGACAAAAGTGAAAATAAAAATTATCAATTAAAAACAAAAATCTTAATTAATTATAACTATTTTTCTTAAATTATAATAAAAGAGGAAGTAGAGCAGAAAAAAGATTGTCGTCACCTTTGACTCTCTTATTCTAGAAAAAGAATGTTTATAAAATAGTAAAGAAGAGGAATACGTAAATGAAGGAACAATTTATAAAGAAAAAAAAAAAAAAAAAAAAAAAACTTGAGAAGTTTTTCCGCTTGTTGAACGTAACACGCACCACTTCGCTACGATTCAATGATTTGCGCGCCAAATGAATTGCGCAATATACACTTCAAAACCTCTCTTATTTCCATTTGCAATCGAACGATCATGGCAAATACGCGATAACGATTACATTATGTGGATTTGTCAGGTCGTTATGAAAATATCAGATAATTACATAATTTTAGACAATTGGAGGGAAATTTTTTTTTTTTCCTCACCACGTGATGCAAAAATAAGAATTACATTTACGAAGTTCCGGAATTTTTCGTGCGGTCTGCTTTATTTCATGTAATATCTTGAAATGCATCCGTAATTTTTTTTTTTTTGTAACTAAAAAAAGCGAAAAACAATAACCGTTACTATTTCTAAATTGAGAATTTTTTTTTTTTTATTTGGTCAGACTTTTAATGTTTTTATAATGTTTATTGGGGACGCATAATTATGTTCTAAAAATAATAATTAGTTAGAATATTCATTTTATGGAATTTCATTTGTCATAATTATTTTTGAGCCGAATTTTTATTTGTTTGAATTAGTATTTTGCAGAATTTTCATCAAAACGATTTTCTATATTACAGAATTTTTATTTGTTCGATTTATTATTTGATATTATTTCAATATAATCGATTTTTCATACTACAGAATTTTTACTCAACCGAAAAATCATTTAACAGAATTTCTAATTGATAGAATTTTCATTTGTACGAGATTGCAAATGGCCTAATAAACAATCGAGAGAAAGATTTCGGCGCGATTTTTGAAATTAACCAATCACAATTTTATGGATAATTTTTTATTGGTTGATTTTAAAAATCGCGCCGAAATTTTTCTGTCGATTATATTTGTTCGGCCAAATGAAAATTCGAACAAATAAAAATTCTGTGAAGTGAATTTTCGGTTATATAAAAATTCTTTAATAGAAAAAATCGGTTTGATGAATATTTTGCAAAATACTAATTCGAACAAAAAAATATTCGGCTCAAAAATAATTATGACAAATGAAATTCAATATAAAATGAAAATTCTAACTAATGATTTTTAGGACATAATCATGCGACCCGTTTATTGTAACATATTTTAAAAATTTGTGCAATTGAAAATAATAATTTTGCCAAATGTATTCAAATTCGAAATTATTTAATTCTTACTTATTAATATTTATAAAAAAAAAACTGATTACAGTACTACAAACAATTATGAAATTATTCTAATTATCTAATAATTTTTTCATTTATTTACATAATAATAGAATAATAATGATGATAAATTATAGTTTTAAAATTTCCATAGACACATTCATTGAATTTGTTAATTATAATTATTAAATAATAAACCATGACTTGATCAATATAATAATAATAATACATAATAACAATAATAATTGTAACACGTCAATTTTAATTTTCAGATGAATCAGCAATGTAAAGTGTGCGGGGAACCTGCAGCAGGTTTCCACTTTGGTGCATTCACCTGCGAGGGCTGTAAGGTAATAAACTTTCTGGAGTAGATATATATATATATAGGTATAAGAGATTCACTTCCTGAAAATTGAAATATTGCAATTATGTAAACAGAAAATGAAGTACACGAACAATCATAATCTTGATATAGGAAAAAAAATACTTTTTTTTTCAAATTTGCATATAAAGGAATTTTGAAACATAATTTTAAATAAACATTGATAAAATTCTTCCATATAATTGTGTCGAAAAATGTTTCATTCTCACTTTTTTTTTGCTCGAGTTCATTTTTATATATAAATTTTTAATCAATTTTTATCTCTATAATAATAATTGTTAGGTATGTGTTAATTAACTGATTATTTTTGAATCATGCGTGTATAAAAAATGAGGTATATTTTAATTAATGATGAAAAATCGCATTTTTTAAATCGCACTCAATGAGGGATAATTGAATTATTTTCTTTAAAGGGAATAATTAATTAAATTGCTTTGCCTTTTTTTTATATTATCAATCTAATATTGGTAATATTTCGCAAAATGTTCAATCGCTTTCTCGACCCGGTGTGTATGGAGGCGAGGTTAAACGTTTGGCTAGGCATGCGTGTCAGGGGGCCTAAAGTGTCCGTGTAAAATGAGCAACGGTCTTTGCTGCAGTCCACAGTCCGTGACTCTCCTAAGTTTTTAGCTTTAGGTCAAAAACTTTTTTTTTTTTTCTATTCACTTCATCCAAGATATACGAATCGTTAAAACAAAAATTATCATTTCACGCAACTTTTTATTTAAAAGAAATTTTAAGTGTTTGGAATTTTTAAATTCTAGATATTCCAATTCACCGAATATTAATTTATTAAAAATTTTTTATTTGTACGAATTGTTATTTGATAGAATTTTTAAAACGTCAAATTTTCATTTATCCAAAATTGTAAATTGCCAAACAAAGGGTTGCATGATTATCATATAAAAATCATTGGTTAAAATTTTGATTTGGAAGAATTTTATTTGATATAATTATTTTTTAGACGAATTTTTATTGTAAAGAATTCTTAAAAGGACGAATTTTTATTTGTCCGAAATTGCAAATGGTCGAACAAACAATGAACAGAAAGATTTTGGTGCGTTTTTTTAAAACTGGCCAATCACGATTTTCTTGACAATTTCTGATTGGTCAATTTTTAAATAACGCGCCGTTATATCTTTATGTTGATTGTTTGTTCGGCCATTTGAAATTTCGGACAAATAAAAATTCAGCGTTTTAAGAATTCTAAACAATAAAAATTCATTTAAAGAGAAATAATGTGACAAAAATTCTAATTCGATAAATGAAAATTTGTCTAAAAAATAATTATATCTAATAAAATTCTTTAAACTAAAAATTCTAATTATTTTCTGTATTTGATTTCTAAATTTTATTTTCTCAAATTTTTAATGAACAATATTTCTATTTGGTTTTATACGCAATTGAGAGATGTGTGTATGTATATATATTGGTTATTATGAGATGGTCATGGAGAGAAACCGATAGTGATGCGGTTATGGTGCTTTGGCGTCGGTGACGGTATATGGTGCGTTGTAGGAGGGGACGGTGACATGCTACGATGGGCCTGAAAACGAAAATAACGAAACGAAACAATGTCGACCTGACGTAATCGGTAACTAGGGCGGAAACAATTGCGGCGGACAAGTGCGAATCGCCGGAAGGGGCCCCACTTTTGAGCCATATTCTTATAACTATATATACATACATATATAGTGAAAATCGAGTGCTGCGAGAGAGCCATATGGACGATGAGGATCGCGTTCGGAGTCAAGCTCGTTCATGGACGCATAGTGCGCGTTACACAATGGAAATTATGTAGAGCGCGTTGTGCTTAAGACTTAATGATGATTCACTTGAAACCCTCTATACTTTAAAGGCAGTCTTCACTTTTCAAAATCTGACATAATCAACCCAACTGTAATTATCTGTCCGAGTGGTTATACACTTATTGTCTTCCTCTCGAAAACATTATTGCTTCACTATATACTCATGCGCTTAAAAAATTGATTATTAATAAGAAAAAAAAAGTTTAAAAAAATATTTATTATACAAAATATGAATATATCTGCACGGGGACGCATGATTATCCCATAAAAATCATTAGCTAGAATTTTAATTTGAAAGAATTTTAATACCTAGATATATGTAATTATTTTTTAGACGAATTTTCATTTTTCGAATTAGAATTTAAGACAATTTTTCTTTAAACGAATTTTTATTGTACAAAATTCTTAAAACACGCCGAATTTTTATTTGTCCGAAATTGAAAATAGCCGAACAAACGATCAATAGAAAGATATCGGCGCGTTTTTTAAAAATTGATCAATCAGAAATTGTCAAGAAAATCGTTATTTTAAAAAACGCTCCGAAATCTTTCTATTCATCGTTTGTTTGGCCATTTTTAATTTCGGACAAATAAAAATTCGGCGTTTTAAGAATTCTTTACAATAAAAATTCGTTTAAAGAGAACTAATGAATTTGTGGGGCAATCATGTGCCTCATATATCTGAAATTCTTTTATAATTACATATACTGAAAAAAATTAATTAGAATTCTCTAAGAATAAAATGTTAAACATTTTTTTGGTTAGTACTATTAGAAAATTTGGTTACAAAAATTCTGGAACCAAATTCTTGTTAAACCAGAAATTTTCTAATAATAAATTGGTTATTTATTCATATACTATGTATTCTAGTTGATGTTACCAGAAATTAACAAAAACTGTTTAATTTTAATAATTTTTTTTTCTTGTTAAAACAACTAGATCTTTTTTTTAACCAGATGAATCTAGTAACTTTGACTAAAACTTTTTTTTCAATATATATGGCATAATTTAGTGAAATTTCTATTGTTATAAGAAAGTTCCATTAGGGCGAAAAAAAAAATTCTTTCATCATCATATTTTCATATAAGAAGAGTATCACACACAAACCCTTTTTACTTTCACTCTAATTTTGTATTCTTCATATGTAAATTGTCTATATAAGGAAAATAGTGGCCTTGACTCAATTTTGAATTGGTAGAGTGGCGCGTGTGTGGGTATACAATCCTAAATAACGACGTCCTCTTTGTATATATATACATATATATATGCTTGGCACTACTTTTGAAATGAAAACGGAAATGGCTCTAGGTCGTAGGGAAAATGTAGAAAACCGTAATCACCTCTCATATCAAGATCATATACAGATTCTGGTATACTTCAATTACAAATCACAATAATGGTTTTGCAGGTACACAGTTGATGACTATCATTTTCCGGTAGGAATTGCGTCAAAACGTTACAGTAAAACAAACGGAAATTTAACAACATGTAATACGTATATATATACGTGAAGAAAGTGAAAAAAGTTTTTACTTGATCTTCAATTTTCCCTTTTTTAATTATAGAGAAAAAGAAATTTAAACAATTTTCAAATTTTAGCGCCATTACCCACAATTTCTATTAAACGTAATTTTTATTTGTCCTAATTATTATGTGACCAAACATTCATTTATCTTAATTGTCATAAACTTTGTGTGACCTAATTTTTTATGGCCTAAATTTTATTTGAACTAATTTTAATTTGGCCTAATCTTTATTCATACCAATTCTTTTTTGTTCTAATCATTATTTAAACTAATTCTCATTGAATATATAATTGACATTTGACATATAATTCTTATTTGTGCTCATATGTTTAGTTGGTATAAATACTTTTTGTTCTAAATATCATTTGGCCTAAAAGTATTTATACCAACTAAACATTAGAACAAATAAGAATTATGTCTAATCACAATTAGAACAAATGAATATCACAGTAAAAACCTATGGGCTCATTTTTGCTGCGGTTCAAAATGAGCTAATGCTAAAAGACATATAGAACATGGCGCCAAATAAGAATTGTGTTACATAAAAACTGGACCAAAGATAAGGTCGTTTTCACCATGTGGATAAATTTAATCCTCCGAAAGGTTAAAGGCAGTAGATATATTTTGCGTCTGCGCAGAATGTTTGCATACAGTTTCTGCGCAGGCGCGCAGAATATATCTACTGCCTTTAACCTCTCGGAATATTAAATTTATCCACATGGTGAAAACGGCCTCTAAGTTTAACAAAAAATAGTTTCAATATAAAGATTATACTAAATAAGAATTATTCCATATGATAATTAGGTCAAGTAAGAATTAAATCAAATGTTGATTAGGTTAAATGAGAATTAGATCAAATGGTAGTGAGACTATATAAAAATTATGACAAATATAGTTTAGGTCAAAAATTTTTGTTACGAACCAAATATATTTTTTTTTTCTTACCTGTTTAACTTCGCAACCTTTTTTTTTATTCTAATAAAAAGGAAAAAAGAGTAACTTATAAGAAAAGGGGAAGAAATATATATATTGAAACTATCATTGACTGCAAAGCTAAATATCGATACAAAAAAAAATGTTTTTAGCAACAGAAGTTCTAACAAATAATCGGTAATTGTATACAAATATATAAAGCATTGCGTGACCGCGACTCATGCAAGGAATTTCGGCAATTTGAAGAAGAGGTGGGTTTGTCCACTTTCGCTTTTTTTCCACTCGTTTGATGTTAATATTATATTAATAGTTTCTGGTTCGTTTGTCCTGGAAACGAGCTCTTCCTGTGACCTATTGCTCTCATTGAGCGCACCACCGAGACAAAATATACATGCGACAAAACTATACACAAGTATATATTGCCAACTTGTAATCAACTTATCTCCCTCTTCTTATTTTTTTTTGTTGCTTTTCTCAATCCTTCCACATGTTTAGGACGAGACGCCCATTATTGAGAAAGATATTTCTATAAGTGTGTCCGGAGTTTTATATATACATATATATATTGTATATATATAATTGTAACTCTTTAAAACACAAGTGCTCAGGAATTAGAAAGAAACAAGCGTATCTAATGTTCTTATAAGCTTGAAATAATTGCTTAGACAGCACTCACTGTGTATTATATTCACACAATTTTGTAATTCCGCCTAATTTGCTATTAGAAAGCTAAATTCTATCTTTATGGAGAGATAAGATTTAATAAGATAAGAGATCTTGGGATTAATGTTACCTGATTATTTAGATGTTAAGTGGCATAAAATTTCTACTGAGTAACGTGTAATTTGCTTTGATTAAAAAAAAAAAAATTTAATGTGTTAAATATGTACTTAAATGTATTATATTCACTTAATCGAACTTTTCCTCGTTGTTTCTCTTTCATTTCTTTGCATTATTTATTATCATGAAAATAGAAATTCATTTTAATATAATTGATTTAAAAAAATTTTTAATCAATTTATTTTTCAAATAAAAAATATGTGTTTCTTTTAAGCATGTGATTTGTTAGGGACACAATGTTAATTTTATCGGGAACTTTATTCTTAAAATATTAAATGGAACCTCAAATTTTTCAAACTATTTTAATTTTTGCAGAGTCCTTCCTCAAATTTCAGATTTCACTACAAAATCTCAGGTCAATTTAATATTTAAAAAAAAAAAAATTCGTGTTATGAAATATGTTTCCACGATTGAATCGAGTGCGGTATTTTCGACGACATTCGGAGTTTTTTTTTTTTTTTTTTTTTTGTTTAGAGAACGAGAAAGATTTATATATATATGAAATTCCAGATGGACATTGTTTGGTAAGACATATACATTAAACCGTGAACATCATAAGGCAATTGTAATTCTTGGTGTCGGTCTATGGACACGGGTGCACGCGACTGCAACAGAAAACGATGACACAATTGAGAAAATGTTACCATTACGCTTGCCTGTTGGTGGTGGAATTGCGCAAATTGTCGCTTCGTGACTTCATCAGTAAATTGTCATCGTCCACTCGTTTTTGTGTCAGTTATTTGAAAAAAAATTCATTTTTGTTTTCCATCAATTTTTATAATTGTTTTTTATCGATGACAATTTAGCTTCAATTAGAATTGTTTCAATTTTATTTAAAGCTATATAAATTGTTTATCAATCATTTATACAGGTCGACAAAATTTTAGTCTATTTCAGAACGAAGAATTAGACTATATACTTTTCCGCAGCTTTTTGATGTGCTAAATCCGAATCTGATCTCCGAATTAACCGAGAACATCAGATTTTAGGGATATTCTATAACCTAAATATGTACAATTGAAAGATTCGCCAAATTCAAATGACGGTTAGAATATCTCGAAAACCTGACTTGCTGGGTCAATTCTGAAGTCAGATTCGGATTCAAAATGCATTGGAAAAAGTATATTCTGCTTCTTGGTTCTGAAGTAGGTCAAAATTTTGTTGATCTGTTTTATTTTTAATGATGTTGATGGATTATTCAAATGATAGTAGTTTCAATTAATGATAGCTTCAACAAAAATTGTTAATCATAATTATGACAATAAATCAGTGGAAAATAAAAATTGCTAAACATATAAGCAATGGTTCAGAAAAAGTGAATTCTTCAAAATATAAAAATTTAGTAGAAATGGAGAATAAAAAAAATAACCGCATATAAGCCTTAAAAAAAAGATGGTATCGCGAAAGCTAAAAGTAAATAATGAATAAAAGTTTTATTTATTACAAGGTGATTTATTATGCGATGCATACTTTGTCTAAGAAAAGCATAAGATGGAACACCAACGCTTGAAACAATGATGTCGGAATCGTGTTTGTTGCACCATTTGGGCAATTAACTTGAGTACAACGATATTATATAGAAGGCCGCACGCGTCTAAATCTAGTATAGAGAAATTTATATTATATACACTTTGTGGATCCCTTCGCTCTCAATATGAATAGAAGACAATGAGAGCGCGTGGTTACGCTAATTTGTCCCACGAATATATATACACATTTATAATCTTAACCATCTGGTTATAAGAGAGCTATGTCACTAGAAATTATTTTGTTTTTTTTTCCCCTCTAAACCTACGCTCTCATTTCCTCCGCCTTAACACCATTTATAAAACAATTATATACGAGCGTGTGATCCATTACTCCTGGGCGCGAATAATCGACACATTTCATCAGTATTTCATAATAAATGTAATTCTCTTCTCTATTCTCTCAAGTTTCACCTGTTTACTTTGTCTAATTTGAGTCAATTACCAGCTTAAATTAAAGTTACATTATTATTCATCATCTCTTGTTTTAGATGTTTTTCTTTGTTTTTTTTTCAAAATAGTTAAGTAATTTAATTTATAATCCGTTGTATGTAATTTAAAAGAAATTAATTTTTGTTTTCAGTCCTTCTTTGGTCGCTCCTACAACAATTTGAACAGTATATCGGAATGCAAAAACGGAGGAGAATGTGTGATAAATAAAAAAAATCGAACGGCCTGCAAAGCATGTCGACTCAGAAAATGTCTCTTGGTTGGAATGTCAAAATCCGGTTCAAGATATGGTCGAAGATCAAATTGGTTCAAAATCCATTGTCTTCTTCAGGAACAACAACAGCAGCAGCAGCAACAGCATCATCATACAATTCAAAATCAACAGCAAAGGCCAAATCCAACAAGTCCAGTTGCAATTCATCATCATCATCATCATCATACACCACGAAAGGACGATGTTCTTCTCCTTGGACTTGATGACTATAAAAATTCCACATCTCCCAGTATTAGTTCACCGGAATCGCACAATAGTGATAGTTCAATTGAGGTTTCAGAAAGGAGAGCCGCCTATGGACATCATCAAAGTTTTAGACCACTTCATTCACATATTCATCATCCTTCGGATTTATCAACCCTGGGAAAAGAGATTATGGGTCTACCACTTGGTTTTCATCTCGGTGGTATGTCACTATTACCACCTGCTTTCCTTCCACCTCCAAGTTTATCAATGTTCTCACCATATCAACTCTATGCATCATCTCATGGTGCCACTCATCCTTTATTGAATCATTCGACTCTTCAACAATCACAAATTGGTAATACACGACATTCGTCAGACAATGAAAATTGCACCAATAATAATGATCGATTGACGCAAAATCACAATAATACAAGATCAAATACACCGGAGAGTGATGAACATGAGGAATTGTATTCGAAACGATTTTATCTTGATGGCATGGTGAAGAATGAGAGATCAACATTGTCCGAGAAAACACAATCGGAACTTGACTCACCACCTGGAAGTCCAGATCCAGATAATGTTCCACCACCACAAGACAATCCTATGGATCTTTCTATGAAGACGGTTGTGGTGGCATCAATGAAACATTCAAGAAGTAGTGAATATCTTGATGTAGATAATGATGATGATGATGATGATAATGATGATGATAATAATGTCAGTGACAGGGACAGTCCACCACTGAAGAGAAGACACGTGGCTATTGATCTTACAACACGTACTTAAACATTCTTTTGTACTAAAGGTACTAAAGGAGAGCTATGTAGAAAATCTCTCGAATCTGTGATTGAAGCTAATGAAGCTTAACAGTGGTTCTAAAGAATTTTATAAGAATTCTGATTTTCATAATGGTGTATTATGGATACTTTTATTCTTCGAAAATCAAATCCTTTTCTGATCGAATGAAAATATTTTGCCCCAATGGAACAAAACGACTATACACATGTTTCTTGTACTTGTAAAGATTAAAGATTCTCTGCAGGAATTTCGTCAAAAATTCTTTGTAAAAATTATGCAAATTCATTTTTGACAATATAATTAGGAAATAGATTAAATGAGGGCTTTTTAAAATAGATTTCACAAATATTTAACGGAGAAAATTGAATATTGATATATCTGAATGTTAAAGGTTAACATTTTATTTATCCTTTAATATCAGGACAATTATTAAAAAAAATTTTAATTTAAATATCTCTAATATTAATTATTATTCTCTATCCGGTAAGAAAATTAAAATTAAATTCTCTTTTTGTCCATAAATATACAAATCGAATTTCTAGAAGAAATTTAAATATTCTTTTCTATTCCCAACCGTGATGTATATTTTGTCTTATTTTTGTAAAAACTTATCAATTTTTACTTAAATATTAATTGAAATTATGTTTTAGTTGTTATAGAGAAGGAATTTTATTTTTCCAATATCTCGTTGGAGAATAAAAATATTAAAAAACTTTTATACTTCTTAGCAGGGTTTAATCTAAAAATAATTCCCCATGACAGAAGAAATGAAACCTAACCTCTAATTTTCAAAGTTTGTTGAAATGCATAACTTTTTTTATGCTACAGAAATTGATTTTAGCGAATATAAATTTTAATATTATAAAGTAAACTTAAGGTATATTTTTGAACTTTTATATTTCTTAACATTTACCTTAGAAAACTAAAAAATTAATTTATGCAGATACGTTGTTATAAAGAAACAGACTAAAATGGCGAAACAGACTCGTGACCGTTGCGCATCCGTTTTGAACATTGTATTTAATATTTTCAATAGTATATTTAAATTAAAAATTTTCTTTTAATATCCAGTTTTCTTCGTTAATTGTAAAACTATTTATTAAACATTAAATAGTTAAAATAGTTGATAATAACTGAAAACATCGATACAGGTTGTGAGAATTATTATGTAAAAGCAGTTTTTTCTTTTTTTTAATATTTTTTTTTTTTTTTAATTATCAATCTGTAGAATATGTTTAAAGTCTATCTGAAGTCATGTTCATTGATAAATATATATGTCAAGGGAGCAAGCACATGTTCTCAGTGTATTGTGTATTAAGGACTAAGCCGAAAACACGTGTCGAAGTGCGAAGCACATTATCTTACAAGTCTTCGATACCACTATACCAATGTAAACTCTACATCTTTGAGTCTCCTTATTCCACTTTAAACAAAAGCAAACTAAATTTCAAAATTTCCGTTTTTTTTTTAATTTAAAAAAAAAAGTTTCCAAAAATTGTATTTCGCCATTATTATTATTTGAAAATTTCTTTCATGATATTAAGAAAAAAATTTAAATAATCAAAATTTTTTTTAATTTATGAAAACAAAAATTTTAATTTATTTCTTCAAGTGAAAAATAGATTTTTTTTTTTGGTTTCGAAAAGAAAGTAAATTTAAGGTATATTTTTAAGAAAAAATTTTGTATACCTTTTTTTTTAGAAAGAGAGATGATATCAAAGAAGAGACAAGTGGTTTTAATCTTGTTATAAAAACAAGCGAATTTCTGTACGAGCATTTTATCCACAGATACAAGATCGTCATTCAGAACACAAGTTCCCTTTTAACGCGCGCCGGATCTCAAGGAGTAACCGATTTGTAAGACATGGTTCTTCCCTCATACCTTATTGTATGATGTTTCAGAATTTATTCTCCGAATGCCGTGCGAAAAACAAAAGAAATTAAAAAAGAAAAGAAAAAAAAAAAAAAAACAATAATTAACAAGTGCAGAATTATAATCTGGCTCGTGGAGAATATTTTTACAAAAATTATTTCGATTCAAGATTCAAAAAATATTCTTCACATAATTATATGGAAATTTTTTTATTCCATAAATAATTTATTTTCTTTCTTTGAAAAAAAAAAAAATTGTAAAAAAAAAATTGAAATTTTTCTCAACCTTTTGTAAATATTTGAGAAAATAAATTGTACATATAATTTTTTTTTTCTAAAAATTCCCTTTTTTAAATATAAGAAATATTTAAGTAAATCATCGAATTTTTCCACAGAAAGAATTTTTTTTTTTTAGGTATAATAAGTTACCAAATTGGTTTTGATGAATTTAAGTCAATGAAAGGCCAGTATTTTCACGTTACCTTTTTTGTAATTAAATATGTATAATTATTTAAATTGAATCTAAATTCGGACAAGTGTATTATTTTGTGTAAAAAGCATTTTTTTTTTGACTCTTACTGTGAGGAATCTCTGTCTTATAATAAAATGACGTTGTTAAAACAGGGTCAAATAATTGTATATATATATACCTATATGATTGATAAATTTTATGCGACTATAAGGGGACGGAGGCCAGTTTTTTTTTATAATATATAAAATATGTAAATAGAAAAATAAAACGTGCGTTAATGATATGGTCCGTTGCATTACAATGTGATTTGTTATACGCTCTGCTTGTAAATTAAATTCAATTTGTTTGGCAATATTTGTAAAATAATTTATGTATTTTCTTTAATTTTTTTTTCTACGAGAAAGCTAATGTGTACAAAAACAAAAACAAAAAAAAAACGACTGGAAATTTATATATTTTTATTTATATAAAAATAAGATATATTTCATATTTAATGAAAATTATGCGGTGCCAAAATTACAAACGTCAATCATTGTTATAAGAGAGGATCGAGATTTATAAAAATTATTCTAAGTTATTAGCAATGAAGACTTTCGAAAAATATATAAAAAGTTTTATTCAAATTTATTGTGTCTTATTAATTTAATATGAAAAAAAAAATGAAAATCCTTAAAGAAGTAAAGTAATTAAAATAGAAGTTATTTACTAAACTTCAACTGAAAAGTAAAAAAAAGTACGAAGAAAAATGGAAAAACAAATAAAGTAACTTTTACTATACTCTAAAAGTAAAACCGGAACTGTCCGCAGTTTCTGCGCATTTTTGGAAATTTTTACTCCAAAAATAATAAAATTTACTTCTAAATAGTAAAAATTATCACATTATCACTGAACAAAATCTTAAAAACTTCCAAAAAATGTAAAAACACATTTTTTTTTAAAAAAAATTTCTTATTGATTATTTATAACTTTTATCAATGTCTGTTTGGAGATAACCGGGATGATTCAAATATTTTTTAATTCTATTTTCTCTCTTAATTTGAATCAGTGAAATTTCACTGGTGAAATAGCTAGAAGTCGGTTACTGAATCATTTAGTGAAATTTTTCAATGAAAATCAGTCATATATCACTGATTTCCAGTGAAAATTTCACTAAATGAATCAGTAACCGACTTCTAGCTATTTCACCAGTGAAATTTCACTGATTCAAATTAAGAGAGTTACAAAAAGCCTTGAAATCATCCACACTTTTCACTGTAAGTGTTTTATGTTGTCAAATAATGGATCTAAAAAATATTATATTGCATTTTTTATTTGTTTAAACAATTTATTGTTATTATTTATTAACTTCTTTTGTTCTGCACCTAGAAAAATGCCGTTTTTTTTTAATTTTGCAATTTATCTAGCCAAATATAATAAACGATAGATTTGATGTAAAATTATTAATTCAACAATTGTTTAAACAAATTATTGTTGTTATTTACTAACTTTTTTTGTATTGAACCTAGAAAGATGAAGTTTTTTTTTTAAATTTTGCTATTATATTTTTCTTGTTAAGTTGCAAAATTAGGAAAAAATTGCAAACTTCCTTGAAAAATTATGGAAAAAGTTAATAAGTAGAAACAACTATTTGTTTGAACAATTGGTTATATAGTAAATTCATATAAAATTTTTATATTATTATATTGTGCTTTTTAAGTTGCAAAATTAGAAAAAAATTGCAACTTTCTGGGAATATTATAAAAAATGTTAATAAATAGCAACAATTATTTTTTTAAACAATTTATAATAATAGTTGTTGTAAATTTAATTATATTTTTTATTTATTTTTATTTATAACCTTTAAATTAATAACTTTGAAGAAAAGGTAACAAATTTATAAAATATTGCTATATTTAAAAAAGTTATAAATTATTAATAATAATTTGTTTAAACAAATAAAAAATCAACAAAACATTAATAAAATATATTATTTGGTAACATGTAACAATTTCAGAAACAAACTGGGTGATTTCAAGATTTTATTGCAATATATACAAAGAAGAAAACTTTTGACCCACCCTAGGTGGATTCTCGTCAACCGCGTATATAAAAAATCTCCAATCCGGCGAAGGTTAAATAATAATTAAATAAATTTCGTGCACCAATTTAACATTCAATTACTTAAACGCTAAAATGATTTTACCTGTGTTTTATTTAAGGAGGTTCAACCCATTAACATAACCTCAAACTAAAAAATTGTTTTTAACAACAAATAAAATTATAAATAAAATTAATTTTATCAAATTTTGAAAGATTCAGTTATACAAGTTTCAAAATAAATTATTTTGCGCAAAAATTTGTTGTTAATTATTTCACTTTTTATATTTTTTGTTTAAAGTTAGTGAACAATTATTATTGTAATTTTTATGCAATTCTTCACAGTAAAAACAAAGTCTTAAACCGTTTACACCTTAAATTCAGCCCATATATTTTGCATAAGTCTGTCCTTTTTTAATTGGTCTGACTCCGTTTACACCTTAAATTCAGCCTCAAAAATGGGCTGAAATCAAGATTTCTTTTTTAGTGTGTTACAAACAATAGCTCATTTTGCTCTTTGAAAGATTTTCGACCATTCTGTTTGTTGAATTTTATTAAAAATATTTTGTTCAAATGTTAATAAACAAATAAAATTTTTATTTTTTATATTTTTTAAACAAACCATTATTTAATAAAAACACAAAATTAGAATTGTATAGAGAATCTTTCAAAGAGCAAAATGAGCCATTGTTTTTAAAAAATTGGATAAAAATTATAATTGTTAACTAACTTTTAAGAAAAAGCACAAAATGTTTCTTAATTATTATTTAACAACAAATTTTAACTAAAAATAATTTTTTTCCAAAATTGTGCAATTAGATATGTCGAATTTGGGTGTAATAAATTTTAAATATATTTTTAGTTCTGTTAAAAAATACTTTTTAGTAGTAGTAGATAGTAGTGAACTATCGGAAAGTGCAATATATAAAATAATTAAGTTAAACACAGGTAAGATCATTTTCAGTGTTTAAGTATTGAATTTTAAATTGGCGCACGAAATTTATTCAATTATTATTTAATAATTTTTTTAAGTTGCAAAATTATAAAAAATTGTTCTAAAAGGGATTTAATCCTCTCATTTTCGTTGATATTTAAAAAAAAGTACACTGAAAAAAATGTTGCCGAGAAATTCAACTACTATTGGGTAGTTGTCTAGAAAGTAGTTAAAATAAATACTTTTTTAGTTAATCTAATCATGTTCATGTAGTTAATATAACTATTTTTAAGAAGTTAATAAGTAATAGTTGATTTTACGTAAATATGTAGTTAAAGTACAACTACAGGTCGGTAGTAAAATTAACTTTCTTAAGGTAGTAAAAACAAGTGGAATTGTAGTCAACTCAAAATTTGAAGAGTAGTAAATCCAACAACTATTCATCAGTTATATTAAATGTAGTAAAAGGAATTATTTTCTTTAATTAATATAACTGCTTTTTGAGTAGTAAATTTTTTATTAATTTCTATGATTTTATAGGCTTCAATAAAATTCTTATTGTAGAATTAACAAGTCGTCTGTAATTAAAACTAGTACTTTAAGTAGTAGATTTTTACTATTTTAATTAATTCGATAAACTTAAAGAAGATTTTTGATGTAGAATTTACAAATCGTTTCCAGTTAAAACTACTACTTTAAGTAGTAGATTTTACTACTCAAAGTGGTACAATAGGCTTTAAGAACATTTTTGTTGTAGAATTAACAAATCCTTTGTGATTAAAACTACTACTTTAAGTAGTAATTTTTTTACTATTTTAATTAATTCAATAAGATTGAAAAACGTTTTTGATGTAAAATTTACAATAAATCGTTTTCAAACTTAAAGTGGTTCAATAGGCTTTAAGAACATTTATGTCGTAGAATTAAAAAATCCTTTGCAATTAAAACTATCACTTTAAGTAGTAGATTTTACTGCACTATGTAATTAAACAATTTATAATATAATTAAAAGATGAAAAATTTACAAGTCAAAACTTAAAAAGGATAGTTATAGCAACTAATAAAAGTAGTAAAAATGACTACTTTAAATAGTTAAATTACCAATTGGACAAGCAGAAAGTAGTCTTCGAGTAGTTTGCAGACTGTCGTAGCGAGCGTGCGTGGTTAGTCGGTTAAGGTATCGGATTGCGAGCGTTAGGGTCGAGGGTTCAATTCCCGTCGGTTAGAAATTTTCTCTGTTAGGTACATAATCGTTAGGGCATAAAATAAGCGTCAGTATAGGAGAGAGGATGAAAAAGTCAATTCTACTGATAATAAACAATTATAAATAAAAAATAATTTTATTTTCCTATTTTAAGTAGTAAAATCTACTACTTAAAGTAGTAGTTTCAATTGCAAAAGATTTATTAATTCTACAAAAAAATGTTCTTAAAGCCTATTGAACCACTTTAAGTAGTAAAATCGGATTACTTACATCTTGAGTTGTTTTAACATTTTTAAATTGAGTTAATACAATCAAAAAATGTTATTCTCACCTGGAAAGTTAATTTAAAATTTACAAATTGAATTAATATAGAAAATTATAAGAAATACGAAAAAAACATAATTTAGAAATAATTTAAATATTAAACTTTTTTATACATTTAAAATTAGTATATTATGGAGAGAGATATAATTATATATTTATATATATATATATATAAAATAATAAATTATTATTAAAGGAAATTATATTTTGGAAAGAATTCTCTAAAGATAAATTACATTTTGCTTGGGAATCTCGTTTGGTTTCTGAGAATAAAATAAATACGTTTATATATATATATATACGAATATATATATATATATATATATATATATGACAAAAACCGCAGAAAGCATTCGACAGGTAAGTGTCCCATGACAACGACAACATCATTTTCGTACAGTCGTTTTCACGAAATGAAAAAAGAAAAAAAAAAGAAAAAGAAACATGACGTTCTGTGCGAAACCCAAGAAAAGGTTACGAGCATAAATAGGTAACATAATAAACCCGACTAAAGAAGATGGTACTAACTCATAATGCCTGCTCTCGGCATGAATATTCAACGTACATGAAGTATAAATATTCTCCTTTGGGTGTGCGTATATATATATATATATATATATATATATTCACCCGCCTTGATCGTCGCCAACGGGAAATAACGATTCAAGTTCAAATATCAATTAGTTTGCCTTTTGAGATATATCACATAGCATAATCGCAGGGGAGTGTTTTGTATGTATCGTCACTAAAGAACAAGCTTATACCGATTCTTAAATCGTTTGAAGCCAACATGGTGGTCTTTAATTAGCAACTCGACATTTTTTATTTCAATAATTAAATTCACTCTATTCTGTAAGGAAATGTTTTATTTTCTTTTATTACTGGTACATATAATATATGCAAAGAAAATATTGAAATTTTTATAATTTATATACAAAAAATTAGATTTCCTTGCACAATTTAATGATATTTGCATGATTTTCGAGTGATAATTGATAAAAATTTCCACTATACATCAGAATTCATTCTATATACATACGAAGCTGAAGTAGGCAACGTTTATGATAAACGATTTTTAAAAAAATAATTTTTTAAAATGAAAAATTCTATAATTTTTTGCTTAAAAAATATTTCTTGTAGTTTTCATTAATCAACAAATTATAAAGAAATATTTTTTAGGCAAAAAATTATAGAAATTTTTCATTTTAAAAAAATATTTCTTTAAAAATCGTTTATCATAAACATTGCGTATACTTCAGCTTCGTCTATATATCGAGAGAAAAGATATATTTATCTCGGAGCCAAATAAATATATTCATTTGTTGCACGGAGAAAAATGTAAAAACGAATAAAATAATTTTTACTATTTTAAAAGTAAAACCAGAACTGTCCGCAGTATCTGGCAATTTTTACTCTGGAAATAGTAAAATTTACTCCCAAAATTATAAAAATTATTCCGGAAATTTTACTATTTCTGGAGTAAAAATAAAAATGCACAGAAACTGCGTTCAGTTTCGGTTTTACTTTTAAAGTATAGTAAAAAAATTACTTTTTATTTGTTTTTTCATTTTTCTCCGTGTGCAAAATAAATTTTATTTGTTTGAAATAAAAAATTTTATTTAGCACAAATTAAATTTGTTATTTAAATAAAATTTATTTGAAAAAAAAAATGTAAGGAAAAAATTTTTTAAAAAAATTTATAATCTACTTAAAAATTTCACGAGATTTCAACGATTAATTATGATTAGTTAATGATTTACAAAATAAATTTCATGAATCAGTGCGATATAGTTTATTAATCCAGGTTAGTAATTTAAATTAGTGATCTAGATTTATATCTAGATTTATTTATGATCCATATTAGTGATTTACTAAAACAGTTACTTTTAATAATTAAAGTTTCTTCAGTTACAAATTAATTATTTTAAATTTTTTGCATCTCATGAGTTTTTTTTTAATTATTAATTTCTTTTTTCTTCTTTATTTCATGACACTGTCTTCCTTAAGCTTTATTTTAAAATATTTAATTTACGTCTTCTTCGCCATCCAACTGTTCTAAAATGAAATAAATAATGTAATACATACTTTGAAGACTGTAAAATATTAGAAAAAAAAAAATTAGTTTTAAATTCTTTGCAATAAAAAATATACAGAATTCGTCCCTGCAAATCCGACGTAGGAATTCGAAGGAGCATCAGAGTTGTTCAATATTTTTCATTTTCATCTTCCTCGTTTCTGTTAAGCCGTTATCTTTTTTTTTTCTCTCCCACATTCTCTCTTTCTCTCTTCTTATCTTGTAAATTCGCGCCATAGCGAACGCAACTCGCGCAAATGTTCCCCGCATATAAATCCGTGGTTTATGTGACCGCGGTTCATGGGGTTACCACTGGTTGGTTCACTTCTCTCATTATTAAACATGACCGCGTCCCCCAGCACTTTTACTACTGAATAATCACCAGGTTGGTGTTGTGCTCGAAATTCATCCTTAAGGAATATGTGTTTATTTTCGCGTGCGAGACTAAATCTCTCATACAAACGTTTTTAAACCATTATTCCTCGAAGACTATATATATATATATATATATATATGGTTAACCACTGAATTTTATACCATAAATTTACATATATATACATACACCTCGAGAGCCACACACTGTCAACAATACAACATTTTTTAAATGATCAATAAAATAAAATATTATACGGTGAAGAAAATAAAATAGTAAAAAAAAGAATTACATTTCAAGAAAAAATTAAAATTAATCTCACTTTTAAATAAATTTACAATAATAAAAGTTTTATCATTAACACGTAATACGAAATTTTCCATAATGAAAAAAGTAAAGAAAATAGATGAGGAAACAAAAAAATTTCAAATTATACAGGCTAAACATCGTCAGAGCTGAAAATCAATTTTTTCTCCTAAATATTGTTTTTCAAACTTTTTTTACAAGACACGCAATTTTATTGTTTGGCTGAAAAAATTTTTCATTACGAAGTTACAACGAATTTCATTTTCCAAGTCGAAATAGTCATTTATCTTAAAATTAAAAAAAAGAATTTTTTTAAATGTTATAACTTTTTGTTTTATTGAGAAACTTAATTTTCTCTTCTTTAACCTGAAAAAGTTTTCACTCCTCTTTAAAAACCGGATAGAAAAATTTAAAAATATTAAAAGTATTTAAAATATTAAATGGTAGTTTTACTAAAAATTTTTGAATTCAAATTAGTCAAAAACATCACCTTCTTTTTTGTTCCATTTTTTTTTTTTTTTTTTGTAATTGTCTTCATTGTAAAAAACATTTTCCATAGGAATTTAACTTGTGCCCGATACTTGTAGAAAAGAAAACATTTTTTTTTTTTTTTTTTTTTTATTATAAAGAAAAATTTCATTTTTCTCAAGAAATATAATAGCAATAAAAAAATTTCCCTAACAAAAGTTGTTTCTCTTTAAAAGATGTAAAAAATTGTTACTTGACATTTTTCGGGACGCATGAATATGTTCTTAAAAATCATTAGTTAGAATTATCATTTTATGGAATTTCATTTGTCATAATTATTTTTGAGCCGAATTTTTATTTGTTCAAATTAGTATTTTGCAGAATTTTCATCTAACTTATTTTCTATATTATAGAAATTTTATTTAACCGAAAATTCACTTCACAGAATTTTTATTTGTTGTAATTTTTATTTGTCAGAATTTTTATTAGGTAAAATTTCATTGCATAGAATTTTAATTTTATTCTTTCAGATGAATTTTCATTTGTTTGAATTATTATTTAATATAATTTCCATATAATAATTTTTAAGAACATTTTCATGCGTCCCCATTTTTCTCCATCTCGCTTTATTTTTCATATATTTTTACCAGATATTTAAAGACGAGTGAAATCTCTTTCAAGTCCAAAAAGAAAAAATTAAATATCTCAATTAGACAAAAAATTATAACACTTAAAAGATTTTTTTTCTTAATTTTAAGATAAACGACTATTTCGACTTGGAAAATTAAATTTGTTGTAACGTCGTAAAAAAGCAACATTTCGAAGAGAAAATTGCTGTAACGATGTTTAGCCTACCTGATTTGAAATGAATTCGATCAGTATTTATTTTAATTTTCAAGAAAAAGAATAGGTATTAATTATTTGAGTGTATATAATTTTATTTACTGAAATAATCTTTAGTAAATAATTTTTTTTCTCCAATTATATTATGAAAAATAAAAGATTTAATTTTTCACTTTAAAAAACTATTTATTGCATAATAATCGATTTAAGTTCTATATCGTACGTTCACAGGCAACATAAATATATTTATAAATTATATGAGTATCTTCATTGAAAAAAGTCTATTTTTTGTTGAGCTTGTTTTCTTTTTTTTTGTTATTCGATATAAAATCGATTTAAATATATATTTACAAAATCTTACTCTTCATAAGTAAAGTATTCTTAATGGGGTGATTTAAGAAACGCATTGCTTGGAGTAAAAACTTCGTAGTCAACCACTGTAAAATTATAATCTCCCATGAGTAATGAATTAGATGCATGCTCCCCATCATAACTATGGGGTAAATTGGTGTAACTGTCCATATTTGCGTTACAATTATTTGAAATCAGAAGATCAGCACCAGCTCCAAAAGTCGGTCCAATACTAAAAAAATGAAAAATTAAATATTTCAAGTATTCTCTGAGAAAAAAAACCATCAAAATTTTAAGCTATCAAATTGGCTCAATATTTTCGTAAATTATAATAAATATGAAAATTTATCACTTTGTAAAATAATATATTTTCGAGACGCATGAATATCCACTAAAGCTAATTTTTTAGAATTATATTTTAATCGAATTTTATTCTGTAGAATATTAATTTTGCAGAATAGTAATTTAAAAGAATTTTAATTTTGCAGAATATTCATTTGTTCTGCAAAATGAATATTCAACTAAACAACGTTTCGCACAAATTAAAATTTCGTTTAAATAAAAATTCGGCAACATTGACAATCGATTAATAATTTATTCTGTAAAATGAAAATTCGAACAAATGAATATTCTGTAAAATTAAAATTTTGTACAATTATTTTTCTGCAAAATTAAGATTCTTTTAAATTACTATTTCTGCAAAATTAATATTCTACAAAATAAAATTTATAATTCTAAAAAAATTACCTTTAGTGCATATTCCTGCGTCTTATATTTTCAACATCTTTTATTTTCGTAAATTGTTCTTCTATGTGAAGATAAAAAATTCCAAAAATATTAGCTCATTTAAAAAAAAAAATTATATTATTTCTTTTCTATCAATTCTTTAACTATTTTAGTCTTTTTTTTCCTCTTCACACTTTGTTCTCTAAAAATTTGACTTTAGAAAATCACATCTCCGAAACTATTAGAAATATAAGCACATACATTTTTTAATGTTTAGAATATTATTTGTTTTTGTTATTCTTTAAATACTTAAGAGTTGAAATATAATATTTAAAAAACTGAATTTTACATTATTTTGTCAAACTTTTCGAGGTTTCCATAAAGCATAGCAACCCTGAATGTTTAAAATAAAATTTTTCGAAACTTACTCAGGATGATGGCATATTGCAAACGGTTTTTTGACGATATCGAATTTCGTTGGCGGAACGTCTTGATTGTTTGTTAATGTGAAAAGAAATGCTTTAGCGGACGGAACGTAATGTCCTTTGGCATTTGTTTTCCCCCAAGGCACGTCACTAAATCCACCGCAAATTTCACCTCGAGCGCCCTGACAAAAATTTAATTGATTAAAAGATTAAATCTAAAATCAAATCAAATTTAGAATATATTATAATTATTAATTGTCATTTATCAATATTTACCACAGCAATCACATAAGTTGGAGAAACTCCGTCGCAATGACGATGAAAAGCGGAAGCTGAATAGCCATGTCTAGAGGCCCTGAAAATAAATTTAAATCAAATTATTTCCCCTTGCTAATTATTTTTATTTATTTCTAAACTATTTATTTTCAATTTCTATTCTTCCAAAGAATCGAGAAAATAATTCATCTCTTTAATCAGTTAAATCCTGTAAGGGAAATATTTATCTTAAAATTTTTTTAATATTGATTCATACAATTTTTCTATCAAGAAATTTCAAAGAAATTATTAACAAAATTCCAAATGAAGTCGAAAATAATAAAAATTATTAATTAAAATTTAGTTTAAAAAATCGTTTCTGATTGTAAAGTACAAAAAATGTTTGTTTTTTTTTTAATAATAAAATAATCCAAACACACATACCGATAAACTAAATGCCAAGTTTGTTTTGGAACACCGAACCACTGATTAAGTAAACGTTGAAAGGGCATTTTGTTCCTTGAGAGAATTTGCGATCCGGGAAAAAGAAATGGACTAACTCTAGGTTGCAGTCTTTTGTCAGCGCACACCTCGGCATATTTATTTGGCAAGGCCGCGTACCTGTATCTGAAACAATATTATGATATTTGAAAGTACCCAAAATGTAATCAAGACCCTACAAAGTCGTACCTTGAGGATTTTGAGTTGCTGGATCGATCAGCATTGAAAAATTCGTACCTCTCCAATGACATTTCTATGGGAACAGCTCCAGTTGGCTCGACTTCCTCGGCAAAAACCTGACTGTCAATCAACAAAAGACGCACATGTCCAATCACTCCGGATAAATGTTGACAAACTCTGGCACGCTCTTCCTCGGTCCAATGTTGCGTTGGTTGCGTAACTCCAGCCTGAAATTAATTTAATTTTTCTATAGTAAAAAAAAATTCACGTTTTTTTTAAAATAAATTTTTAAAATAAATTATATTCACATGAATCTTCACTAAAAATTAATTTAAGATGTTTATTAAAGTTTAGAAATCAAATTCAACTACGATTTGAAAAAAAAAAAAAAATTACGAAGTATAAATAAAAACAATGTTTTGAGTCTTTTGAGTCTATTCGTAAAAATAAAAAAACAATTAAATTTCGAAATGATATTCAAGAAAATTTTGAAGAAAAAATATTTTTCTATAAACAGGCCTTGGATCGACTTCAAGGCGCAAAAAAAAATCATTTTAATCGATTTACATTTCAAAAAAAGTGGATATTTTTAGTTTTATAAATTTTTTACTTTAAATAACTAATGTTATTAAATATTAAATTCATTTTATTAATTTCTTAATAAGAATATAATTCTATAAGAATATTATCAAAACAATTTATTTCGAATATTTCAGTAAAGTAAAATAAATTTCCAAAAAAAAATTCTTAAAGTTCCATTTTTAAATTTTGTTCAAGTATGATTTAAGCAATTTATTTGAATTTAAAATTTTTGTATATTTTTTAGTTTTAATGGTCAAAAAAATTTCGGACAATAATTAAGTTTTCCAGATTTTTAAATAATTAAGTTGCAAAAGATTTTAAATTTGAAATAAATTTTCTCCAAATTTAAGCTGCTGCAGTTTTTTAAATTTCTAACATCAATTTAATTTTAAATTTTTTATTTGAAACTTTTTAAAAATAATTGAACGTTTAAAGAAATATTAAAATTATTAAAAGTAATTGGATTTTTGAAGAGTTACAGTTGAAATTTTTATAAAATAATTGTATTTCAAAAGCTTTTGTTAAATTTCAGACAATAATTAAATTTTACCGAATTGAAAATAATTTATTTATTTATTTATCAAATAATTTTTAACAACCTTTTTTAAAAATAATTTAGTTTTTAAAGATTTACAGTTCAGATGTTTGAAAATAATAATTGAACTTTCTGTTGATGAAGAATTTATTAGAAATTACAAACAAAAATTGAACTTTAAAAGTTTTTAATTAAAAAATGCTTTCAGAAAATTGAATTTTCAAAGAAAATTATAAAAATCATTAAAAATAATTGAATTTTGGAAGAGTTATAGTTGAAATTATTAAATTTCAGAAAGTTTTAGATGGAAAATTTTAGAAGGTTTTAAAATGATATTTCTGGTAATTCTATTTGATGATTTTTAAAAATTTTAAGCAGTTATTAAATTTTATAAAATTTTTAATTCAAAAATAGTTTAAGATCATGGTTGCTATAAACATTTTATTTTGTTTTTACCTGAATTTTCCCTGATTTCTAGTCAGAATTTAAATTTTTTTCCTGACCCTAATACAAATTTTTCAAAAGATTTTCAATTATAGAAAAATTAAGACAATAATTTTTAGATGCAAAAGTTTGAATTGAAAATTTCCAAAAATTATAATTTTAGTAGCATTTTTAAAAATTTGATACTTTTCCAGTATTTTTCATAAAATTTTTTGTCTTTCCCCTGACCGTAGCAACCCTGAAGATAATTGAATTTGTGAAGAATTTCATTAAAATTATTGAAAATAAATACTTTATAGAACAATTTTAGTTAAAAATTTGTTAAATAATTGAAATAAAGAAGATTTGAATATCTGCATTGTATACTAAAAAAAACTTATTTTGTTAAAAAAATGTTGTAAAAAATGTAAAAAAAAAAACTCGAAAATATCGTATAATCCGAGGCATGTATACAAATTATTGTAATTTTTTGTCTAAAAACATTTTTGCAATGTTTCTCGATCAATAATATTTAAAAGAAAAATTTGTATCCAAAAAAATTAATTATTATTTTCCGAGTGAAAAATATATTTATTCTCCACCGTTTATAATAAACGTGAATTTCACTGTAGTGAAAAATGAAAAATGTTAAAAAAATTTAAGTTTATAATAAAAATCAAAGTGAATTCATGATTTCTTTTTCTTTTCTTTTAACTAGATTTACGTAGTTTTTTCGATTTTTAAAGTTTCAAGGTATACAAATGATTATAATTTTTTATCTTAAAAATTTGTAGACAAAAAATTAATTATTTTCCTAATGAAAAATATTATTTTCAATCGTTTATCATAAATATTGTAAACTTCGCCGACATTTGATTATAAAAAGTTGAAATTTGTTTATTTTTTTTTTTTAATAAAATATTCAGCCAGGATAAATTACCTGATATTTTGCCCAATTTAAAACGGCTCTCCAGACGTCCTCTTCTTCAAGACCAAGATAATCAGAAGAAATTAATTTCACCAAAGCGTCTTTTGGTAAATTACAAAAAGCTGAAGTTTTTACAGTGTCAACTGCATTTTCTCCAATGAAAGCAAAACATCTTTCAATAAATGACGAACACGCTCCTTTACCTCCTAAAACAGAAATATTTCATTTTTTTTTTAAATATGTCTATTTTAATATTTGTCAAATTTTTTCGAATAAAAGTGAAAAAATACTTAACTTGTCAGTCTTCTTTATATTTAAATAAAATTTTTTTTTAAAAAAAACTTATGGGAAAACATGAAATAGTTAAAAATATAAATAATAACACAAAATATAAATTTTTCATTTTTTTTTAATTAAATTATTACCGGCCATTAATTTTACATATTTCGTAAACAAAAAATAAATTTAAATTATTTTTCTTTTACAAATAAAAGAATTTTTAGTTTTTATAAATTATGAAATTTAAATTTTTAAGTGAAGATTAAAAAAAAAAAATTACGAAAATTAATGTTCATATTTTGCTTTTTTTCGAATACACAATTTTTCCTGAATAATCACATCAATTTGTTATCGCATTATTATCAACGAGCTAACAGTCAATGTTTACAAACTTCCACTTAGTTGACACTGTGAAAAAATATTTTATTGACACTGATATTGAGAACAAAAATTAAAGTTGATGTTGACAAAAATATCCAAAGTAATGGAAATCCAGATTTTCTCTCTTTTTTTTCCAAAGAGCAACTCCATAGTCGTCATTTTCGTCGTTGAGAACATTTTAAGGTTATGTTGACAGTTTAACATCAATGACAGTAAATAGTTGATTGAAACAGGTTGAGTAGAAAAATTAATAGAAAATAGTTATTCCTGTTGTGTTCCAACTATTTTTCTTTTTATAAACTTGAAAATTTCATTTCTCACATGGGGAATGATGTGTGTTGAGGTTATGTTTAATTTGTCTAGTTTGCTCCAGGATTTGTATTTTGAATAAGCGTTATATTATCACCTTTAAGCATTATACGACCTAATGTTTTTCTGTTTTTCGTCTTGACATTATATTCCTCTGCATCGTCCAACACCAAATTCATATATTCGTCGAAACCAACGATGTGTCCTTCAATTCGTAGGTTAATATTCTCGTATAACCACACTTGAACTTTTGAACGATTTTGTAGATATCGAAATATAAGGTTAATGGGTTGTACCATCACCTTTTGCACTTTCTGAGGACCTTTATACGACATTTTCGTATAGTTTTTTCTTTTTTTTTTATAAAAAAAAAAAAATTACGTTTTCCTTTATACAACGTGTGCGACAGTCGTAAACAGACGCCGGAAAGCTTGTTAATATGACGCATGCGCAAGGTCAGTGACATGGCTACCAAAATCAATGCTACCGACATTACCAACAACGAAAGTTTAAATTGCCAGTGGGTAAACTTCTTTTCTTTTTTTTTTTAAAGTAATTTTTAATTTCAAAGTACGTAAGTAGTAAATTTGAAATTTATTATTTATTTGCATAAAATTTTAAAAAAATAACTGTAAATTTGAGTTAGAGAAAAAAAATGAAATAAAAATCTAGCATCAGACAGTGCTGCCACCACACTGAAAGCTAGGAACCAATTCAAATTTTGTCGGTAATGTAAATTTTTGTTTAAATTTATAATTTTCAAAAAAATTTAAATTATTTCAAATGAGTATTTATTCTTATTATTCTAAATTTCAAAAAATATATATTTTTTTTATTCACCAAAAATATGTTAGTAATTTAAATAAAATTTAACAAATATTTATTCAAAAATTGAATATTTGTTGAATTTTTTAATAAATGTAAAAACAAATAAAAAGTTATTGAGTTCTGAGACAAATAAATTTTGTTTGTCTCAAATAAATGGCAAATAAATTATTTGGGTGTATCTTAATTGCGAAAAAATTAATCAAATTTACGAAACAAAGAAAATAATGGAATAAAAGAAAAAATGAATTTTCCATTTTTAATGGAAAATAATGAAATAAATCATAAAACCATAATAAAACTTTTTTTTTTTTTTTTTTTTGATAAAAATCAAATTTGCTGCGCCTCTCGGAAAATTTGATTGTTTCTCGTTGTTCGCAGTTTCGAAAATAGAGAAAATGAACTTGAATCAACTTCAATTTTTCTCGTAACAAAAATGGAATTAGAGACTGAGTTGAAACAATATAAAAAATGAATGTCTGCCTCTATAATTGTCGAGACCACAACCAATGATTTTTCCATTCGTTTCATTTTAGCTTTCATATAGCAATTTTCTTCCGAACGATAAACGGAAAATTCTGAGCCCGCAAGGCAATAACAAACACAATGGGTTCCAAGTTCCCTTCGATATCTATATATAGGGATATAACACCAATACATATATTTCTGATCCTATATGTATGTGTACGTGTATATATATATTGTGCACCGAAATTAAGATAATGAAGATTGATGGCGCTTTGGGAATGTCACTTTTTATAGGACACCCTTTATATTCTCCCACCTAATTTCCTTTTTTTGCTGTCACCTAGCATATCGGTTTTTGCACTTTACTTTTCCTTTTATTTTCATTTTTTTTTTTGTTCTTCACTTCAACAATATGCAACCATCGATCACAAAATTGTTCTATCCGTATAAGCTTTTTTTTCTCGTCGTTTTCATTCCCTCGCATGTCTCGTATTTTCAAAAAAAAAAAAAAAAAAAAGAAAAATTGCTCTTTTACAAGTGCCTCTCTCGTAATCGATGATTTTTCCATTAGGATAAGTTTCATTAATTTTCAGCTTCGTTTAGTTTCAATTTTTTTTTTTTTAGAAATAATTTGAAGCTTTAGTTTAACATTCTACAACCTATGAAAATTTTTTTATTATTCATACCAAATATAGGGGAAAGGGCCCCAAGATGGACATTTGATATAAAATTTTCGTATAAGTATATATTGCCTCGTGATTTTTTTTACTGATTTAGTTTGTTCAGATGAAGCTTTTTATATTAAACACGCGGATCGGAAAGAATTATTTTTCTTCCTGTAATACATATCACGTGGATTTTTCGTTTTAAAAAGTTTTGTAACAGTTTTTATTTCAATCGGTAAAATTATCTACACACGGAGAAAATTTGTTCCAGACATTTTACTGAAATTTAACTGAAAGTTGGGATATAGTTGCACAAAAGGAATTTTTCAAAATATTTTTTTTATTTTTTGTAGTGATGATAGTTAAAACTTGATATGATATTTTAATTTATTACAAAAGCTAGTACCGAGGGGGAATTTACTCAGGTAGTCAAGTGTACACTCTTCCTGTAATACTTGTGTAATAACGTGTAATACCGTGTAATAATGCGTTATTACGGTGCTGTAATAACGCAAAAAAATCTGTAATATCTCTGTAATAATGTGTAATACTCTGTAATAACGTGTAATAACTTAGTAATAAGGATAATATGAGGTGTAATACCGGTAGTCAAGTGTACACGTTTTTAACTAGTAAATTCCCCCTCGGCTAGTACTGTAAATATATGAAAAATTTGAGTCATTAAACATTAGTTTATATTACGATAACGTATACGTAGATTATGTTGACTATTAGTCTACAAGAAATTATAAATCAATATTTATTCAATGAATTTCTCAAAAAGTTAGTTTTTGTAACAATCGTTTATTAAGATTTAAAAGTAACCAAAAAAACCTGTGCTATTTATCACTTTTTGATGAATCTTTTATTTAAGTCTTTCTCTTAACGGTCTACTAATTTTACAAACAAATCAAAAAAGCTACATTTAATTGTATGAAATTTTAGTTTGACGAATGAAACTACACGGAAAAACTTTGTGCAATAATCATTCCTAAATTTGTTCAGGAACTGAGGATATGAGAATAATTTAAGAAATCTTATTTATATTTTCTTTGAAAAATTCTAAGCAGTATTTCTATAAGAATTGTAGAGAAATTCAAGACAACTTCCTAAACTCACTACAGAAAGTCTTGAACTTGTTTTAGAATAAATTTTTATGTTTGCGAGAAAAAAAATTTACTCTGGGAGGACTCGATCCCACGTCCTCGAGAGTCCAAAAACTGCGCTTTACGTCTCTCAGCTACTTTAGCAGCGTATGGTATTATGCATTGGAAACATATTTGACGCAACCAATCCCTGCCTAGTGCTTGGTTACTGTACTGTGTCTTCTAAAACAGTTCAAGAAACTTTCAACACCCAGTGACTGAGATATTCCGATCGCGGCATTAACAAGAAGTCTTCCAATGTCATAATAAAAATACAAGTATTTTCTTCAATGATTTTTGTATTTTTCTGTAAATTTTGCACAATTTTTCTCATATCCTCAGTTCCTGAACAAATTTAGGAATGATTCTTGAAGAAAGTTTTTCCGTGTATAGCCAGCTCTCCTGAGTATTTCCATTCTGGGCACTACATAATTCAAGTCCAGTTCGGTAAAACGTATACGTACAATTCTAATCGTATTTGTTTTCAGGATTGAAGTACTTTTTTATGAACTTATACCTTTTATATATTATTATTATTATTATTATTATTATTGCACAATCTTTTTTCAATTTTTCAGAAAACATAATGAAAAATTATTTTAATTCATTAACTATTATTAGAGGTGAAATAAACAAAAAATTGAATTTTGCTCAAATGTATTTTCAAACTAAATCATATTTTTAAATTAAATTTTAGGGAAAATAATTTATTTTTAATATACAAACAAAATAATTTTTTTTCATTAATTTGTTTCTATTTAAATCACAAATAAATTTTAAATAAAATTTTCATAAAAAGTGAATTAATTACTTAATAAAAAATAAGTTTGCTTCCTAATTTTGTCATAAATATGTAGTCTGAAAATTAGTTGTCATATTCAGAAATAATTGAATTTAAATTATTTTATTTTTTTCAATAAATTGTTTAAACGTTTCTCACCAGCGGTAAACTAAAATCCTGGTTAATATATAAGGACAGGTCAAATCTTCTGAAGCAATGTAAAGCGAGCGATTATATGTATTGCGTTATTTTATATGTATGCGTTTAGTATGTATTACGTTAAATAAAAATGTGTTGCGTGTATTAGGTGTAAGGTTAACATATGATGTATTGTTTCAATTCGTATATGTGAGTATTAAATTGTAAACCATCAGAGAATCATTAAAGTAGGTGAATTGAGATTTCCAGTAAAGGTAATATTTATTTTTTATATTTCTGCCTGAAGTTTTACCGAACTCTTCATTAATAATTTAAATAATTTATGAAATTTCAATTCTGATTTATCAAAAACAGACCTTAATATTCTTAGCTATTGTTCTAGTTTATGTACTGCCAGTACCTTACGGTTTTCCGAACTGAACTTGAGACACTAATATATGTGTTATAATATTTTTTATGCCTTTTGCATTATAGTTTTATGAAATTCATTTTACTGTACTAATTCTTGAAAAATAACCGTTTTGCTGTTTATATCCCAATTTTACCGAACTAAGTTCAGTAAAACTCTCGGAACAAATTTTCTCCGTGTATATTTTTGATTTCGAATAGGTGCATAGCGTAATAACCTCATTTATTTATCGTATAATAGTATCCTAAAATGATTTGGTTAACACTGTGTTTGTAAATAATTTTTATTTTCGCCAAAAAAATGGGGTCATTGGTCCTAAGATGGACAGTCTTTTGGCCCTAAGATGGACATTACACCTTAATTTTATTTATTTTCAATGTTACAGTTTCTTAATAATGCACTAAGCCTCATAATTGAAATTTTTTCTTTTTCTACTTCGAAATTGTGTTATCAATAGAGAATTGAAATCTGTCAGAGAGAAGTGTACTTGAAGTGCGCCAAAATCTGCGGACCCTGGTACGAATGTCCAAATTGTGACTCAGACACATTAATTTTTAATATTTAGAAAATGTTAGAACTTTTAAAAAATATAATAAAAAAACAGAAAATTGGTTTAAAAATCCTAACTATTGATATTTTATTATTATTTTACCCATTTTTTAATGCATTTTATGAAGGTGTCCATCTTGGGGTCACTTTTTTTTCAAATCGAAATTTACAACAATTTAAAAAAATTCTTTAAAAAATGTTTGTTTTTAAATTAAAATTTTTTCTTTATGGCCAAAGAATACCTTATTTATTGTACTTTCATACGGTATGCACCATTTTTCAATATATACGAAAACTTTTGGATTCTAGAGCACAAAATCAAAACTATGTCCATCTTGGGGTCCTCTCCCCTAATTTATTCGAATTAAATAAAAATATAGGGTCAGTTGGGGTAAATGAGGACAGAATCGCTATTTCTTACACATTAGGGTCAGTTGGGGTAAACGGGGACAAGAGGTTTTGGAGCTTAATTTACAGTTTTAAAATTAAGTTCAACGTCAATAGTTTAACCTCAGATCACCTGCAAGAGATTTTGAGTATTGCCAAGCTTTTATCTTGACAATTGGCAGCAAAATAAAAAAAGTTATCGCTCAATGCATAAAAACTTCAAAATCAAAGTCAAACTGTTTCAGTATTTTGTCTCGCATTTGGAAAAAACAGACTTAAAAATCATACCAAATTTTTTTCTTATTCCTTATGACTTCATTAACAGAAATTCACTTGAATTTTTGATTTTTGTCAATTTGGTTAATAATGACAATCTGTCCCCATTTACCCTGAGTTTTCAAATTTTTGGGACTTTTCATTATTAACCAAACTAACAAAAATCAAAAATTCATGTGAATTTCTCTTATGGGAGTCATAAAGAATAAGAAAAAAATTTGGAATAATTTTTAAGTCTGTTTTTTTTTCAAATGCGAGACAAAATACTGAAATGAAAAAAAATAAAAAAATTTTAATTGGTTCAACTATTATATATCTACTACAAATAGTTTTCAAGTTTGTTCATCCTTTAATACAGTGATATACTTAAGGAAACTTTTTTCTTAAAACTTTCTTAGAAACTATGCTGTCCCCATTTACCCCAAACTTTATGTAATTTCCTAAATTTTCAGGTAAATGTAACTATTTTATTGTGCTAACCAAATTATTATGTTGTCGTAATCAAATTTTGGTTGGAATTTAAAAATGTTGAACCAAATAATTTTGTTGGCCTAACCAAATGTTTGGTTGAGATAACTCTTCGACTTTGTTTCAGTCAACTAAAATTTGATTACAAGAACCAAAATTGCCTAACCAAACTATTTTGTTGCAAACACTAAATTTTTTTTCTCATTGTAGTAAATTTTAATTTTATAATATTGTGCATGAAATTTTTAAAAATTTATCAGTTAAAAACACACATTTAAAAAAAAAACTTTTGAAATTGTTCCATTTTTAAGAAAGTTATGAACATTAAAAAATAAAAAATCATGAAAATTCTCCAATTTCGAAAAATTTATATCTTGTAAACGGCTTGATGAAAAAATTTGAAAATAATCATGAAGCTCCCTTGTGTGTGTATTCGTAAATAAGACTCAAGATTGTATTAATTAAATTTAAAATAAATTTAAAATATTCTGATTTTGAGAAAATATAAAGTCAAAGGTCATTCAGCAGAAAAAATTTTCATCTTAATATATATGAGATTATTATTTAGCGGCTATTATAATAATACGCAAGTACTCACTCAAAAAAAAATATTTTGATTTATATTTATATTGACGCGTCTGGATGAAAAAAAAAAAAAAATTGCTGACAAAGGAATTTATTTAATTAGAAAATACTTTTAATTAAAAAGTCTCGCTTTTTACGTACCAAGAACCCGCTCTTGAGCATCAAGAGCTGCAGTGAGAAGGGCGCAAGCATTTCCGGAACTGAGTGTCGCCGACACGTGTTCTTCGCAGCTTCTCCAAAGTTCCTCGACGCCTAATTCCTGTGCAAGTCCGAGCATTTCAAAAATTCCACTGTCTTGCAGCATAATCTACAAAAAGAAAATTATTAAATAACATTTTTAACATCCAGAGAAAAATTAAATTTTAAATAAATTAATTTCTTTCAAAATAAATTTTAGTTCAAAATAGAAAAAAAAAAATAAAATACAAATTTTATTTGTGCCAAACAAAATTTTTAAATTGAAACAAATAAATAGTTATGTAGCTCTAAAGAAAAAAACCAAATTTTTTTGTATTTAATTCGCAAATACGTTATAAATTTTTGAATTGAATGAGAAAATTCCTTTTGATGTAAAAAAAAAATGAAATTGAAGAAAATGAAATATTGATTTTCTAAGAAACATAAATTGTTTAATATTTGTCATCTGAGAACAAAAGAACCCAAAAGTTGAAATTACCTTTCCCGTATAGATATAGTGCACGAATTGACGAAAAGTTTCAGGATGAGCATGTGGCATACGAACGGGTGCTGGATTCCCTGGTGCTCCAATCCTTTTGGCTCCTGTGAAGTTCTTACATCTAAAAATATTTGATTCTATATTAGTTGAAATATTCTTAGATGTTTGATAAAAAAATTATTCTTTCTCATTTTAATAATTATTTATTAAAATAATGCATATAATAGATTAGTAAAAAATTTAATACAAAATTATAATATTATATTAAAATTTTCAAATATATTAAATTATATTATAAGAAATTTTGAATATTTCAGAATTAAATTTGAATAATCAAATAAAAATATATTTCTCTCAAAGCCTAATAACTTTTTATTTGTTAAAAATAAAAAAAAAATTTTTTTTCCTCCCCCTTCAGAAAAATTTACCGAGAAAGTTTCAAAATACGAAAAAACGTCCTTTGCCCACATACCCTTAATTAAAAAAATTTTTTTTCACTCTTTTAGTGCAATGTCTGCGTATCTTGTGAAAATCAGATCCCAGATAAAATATTTAACTACTACTATCAGGTATCATCAGGTATCATCATCATATATTTGTGTTAAATAAACGTATATTTGTATCAAAGCCTACAAGCCTATTTATTTGGCGTGAATAAAATTTTTTTTATTTAAATCAAATAAATATTAGGCTGTGAGACAAATATATCATTTCTCTGGGTGTAGAGGTAAAAAAAAATTAAAATCTACATGTCCCGAACAGTTAAGAAAATTTGTTTATTTAAAATTCTAAAATTTGTTTGATCAAATTAAACAAATGATTAATTATGATAGGAGTAAAAATTAATTAAACTAAAAGGTAGTTTTACGACTCTCGAAAAATAACTTATCTATATGTTATTATTTATCTTCATTAAGTCAGAGTAATATAAAATTATATGAGTGAGAAGCTTCCTTCAATAAATCACTCTCTTCCTAATTCGAAATGAACAACTTTTATAAATGTGTTTTATTATATTGATTGGAATGTGATTTAGAAAAAAAAAAGAATTGAAGCCGATGCGTGTGAAAATTATATAATTTAAATGATATTTGAAAATTATTTCACTGGCACGCGCTTCACCCTTAGTATATATATAGTTCCTTATGTAACGCAATCCCACACGTAGAAAGATTGTACCTTCTGCCTTTATCACCACTTCTAGCTGTGCTTCTCTTGTCTCACAAAAGAGCTTAATTGACTTCGTCAGAAAGCTCGGTTTCCACACGAGAATGCGTATAACTACTGTAGGCTACAGTCATATATATATACAGGCTGATGTTAATGATCATCTCACACGTGAACTTAAGCACGATCAAGAGAAGAGCAAAGGAGAACAAAATCAATTTGTTCCCTCTAAAAATATTGCATATATATATGAGAGATTCTTTTTCAATCGCCCCAGCCCAAAAAGTCAATGTTCTGGGATTGGCTTCATACTTTGGTAAATTGTTGTCCTATATGATAGTAATAAATCCCTAAAATATAAACTAATTAAAAAAATATTTGTAGAAAGTAGAGGGGGTTGAAGTTTTGACGTTAAGGGTAACATTGTCATTTTCAAATCCGTTTAACTATGACAAAAGTTAATGGATTTTAATTTATCTATAATGAATTTTATTGCATTTTTCACGTACTTTTCAAAAATGTATACGAAATTAAAAAAAAAAAATTTTTAACCCCTTTTTTTTCAAAATCAACCCTTATTTTTCGATTTTCACCCCTTCGGGTATTTTTTTTTTTTTTTTTTTTTTATTTTCATTGGAAAGCTGAGGTTTTTTCCCATGAGCTATGTAAATATGAAAATGGGACAACAATAATTTTGTGAGTAACAGAATATTAAAGTAGGCGGTGCCGATAAGGGGTGTACCTGGAGATCATCTTTGAGGATTTAGATAGGCACCGCCTAATTTAATATTATGTTTCTCACAAAATTATTGTTGTCCCATTTTCATATTTACATAGCTCATAGGAAAAAACCTCAGCTTTCCAATGAAAATTAAAAAAAAACAAAAAAAAATTCCCGAAGGGGTGAAAATCGAAAAATAAGGGTTGATTTTGAAAAAAAAGGGGTTAAAAATTTTTTTTTTAAATTTTGTATACATTTTTGAAAAGTACGTGAAAAATGCAATAAAATTCATTATAGATAAATTAAAATCCATTAACTTTTGTCATAGTTAAACGGATTTGAAAATGACAATGTTACCCTTAACGGCACCCTTATCGGCACCGCCTACTTTAATATTCTGTTTCTCACAAAATTATTGTTGTCCCATTTTCATATTTACATAGCTCATCGGAAAAAACCTCAGCTTTCCAATGAAAATAAAAAAAAAAAAAAAAAAAATACCCGAAGGGGTGAAAACCGAAAAATAAGGGTTGATTTTGAAAAAAAAGGGGTTAAAAATTTTTTTTTTTTAATTTCGTATACATTTTTGAAAAGTACGTGAAAAATGCAATAAAATTCATTATAGATAAATTAAAATCCATTAACTTTTGTCATAGTTAAACGGATTTGAAAATGACAATGTTACCCTTAACGTCAAAACTTCAACCCCCTCTACTTTCTACAAATATTTTTTTAATTAGTTTATATTTTAGGGATTTATTACTATCATATAGGACAACAATTTACCAAAGTATGAAGCCAATCCCAGAACATTGACTTTTTGGGCTGGGGCGATTGAAAAAGAATCTCTCATATATATATATATATATATATAACTACATCTAGTATCATTCATTATTTTCCCCTCGCAAAATTTTTTTTATGATATCCTATGGGAAAATTTGTCAAGTAATTATATTGGTTTTTGTATATGAACGATTCTCCAAATAAAAAGCATTTTCATGTCATCATCATTCGAAACATCTTATTATTTACGTCAGTGAAGTTCACAACGTTTATGATCAGACTGAATCCATTACAAATCATGCAAGTCGACTAACTTCAAGTTATATATTTAACTGCGACACTAAAATATGTTATTCTGTATGAAAAATAAGGAGACACGTATTTTTTTTGTATTTCATAAAATTTATTTTTAACAAAGTTATGGGCATTTGAATTTTGAATGATAAAACTCAAAAAAAAAAAAAAAAATACTTGAAAAATTGTTTTGCTTGTATTTTTTTTTCTTTTTAGTGTAATCAAAGAAACTTTTTTTTGGATGTTGTTGAAAATGTTTGAAATTTGCAAAAAACTTAAAAATTAACGAAACTAGAGATGATTTTCCAAAAATATTTAAGGTTAATTTTCTCAAAAAAAAACTCACTTTTTTTCTCCCAAATTTTTACCATAAATTCCTACCAGTATATGGACAACAATTTCTACAAAGCTGAAGTATACGCAACGTTTATGATAAACGATTTTTAAAGAAATCATTTTTTTAAAATGAATAATTATGCAGGGTGTTCCAAAAGTATAGAAACTTGCAAATATCTCGAAAAGTACGCATTTTCGTAAAAAAAATATCCAAAACAAAAGTTGTTCCCAAAAAAAATATCTACATACATATTTGAACCTAAAAAATTGGTCCCGGGATCTAACAGTGAAAAAAGAAGTATCACGAAAATGCGTACTTTTTGAGATATTTGCAAGTTTCCATACTTTTGGAACACTCTGTATAATTTTTTGCCTAAAAAATATTTCTTGTAGTTTTCATTAATCAACAAATTATAAAAAAAATATTTTTTTTAGGCATAAAATAATAGAATTTTTCATTTTAAAAAATGATTTCTTTAAAAATCGTTTATCATAAACGTTGCGTACTTCGCAGGTAAAGTGTTGTGAATTTAACCCTTTGAAGCATACATTTTTCTTTAACAGGAATTTATCTTTGAAGTGCATTATAGGGGGTTTTAAGTGTCGCTGATTACGAATCCGAAACCAGATTTAAAAAATTTTTAAAATTCAAAATGTTGGATTCAAAATGGCGGACAATTTTTTTTAAATTGATTATATCCGCTCGAAACTGGTTACTCAGGGGTTTTCGGGGTAGCTGATTACGAATCCGATGTTAGTTTTATAAAATTCTAAATGGCGGACCCAATATGGCGGACAATTTTTTATTTTATTTTATAAAAATTTTATAAAAATCCAAAGTCATATTCATAAACAGCGACATCAAAAACACCGTAGTAACAAGTTTCAAGCAAATTCGATCAATTTTTTCATTTTGTCACCCGCCATTTTGAATTTTGAAAGTCCAACGAGCGACCCAAAAACCCCCGAGTGACAAGTTTCAAGCCATTCCTAAAAATTTTTCATTTTCTCATCCGCCATATTGGATCCGCCATTTTGAATTTTGAAAATCTAACGTCATATTCGTAATCAGTGCCCCCAAAAACCCACGAGTTACAAGTTTCAAAGAAATCCGATCAATTTTTCATTTTCTCATCCGCCATATTGAATCCGCCATTTTGAATTTTGAAAATCTGATGCCAGATTCGTAATCAGCGACCCCAAAAAGTTTATAGACATTATTGTTAGGTTATTTCCTATTGTTGTTTAGTCACAATTACATTTATTGTAAAAAAAACGCTATTTTTAAACTTAATTTGTTTATAAAATTTATTTTATTTATAAAAAACACTTTTTTAATGTAGTTATATTGTAATAGATATTCTAAAAAAACATTTTTAATACATTTTGTTACTGAAATGTGTAAAATAGTGGCTGTAGTATTCAAAAAAGTGCAAGAAGAAAGGTGACACTCAGGAGTGTGACTATACCGCAAAGGGTTAACTGAGATACTGGCACGAATTTATGGTAAAAATTTGGGAGAAAAATGTGGGTTTTCTGAGAAAATTAACCTTCAATATTTTCCAAAAATCATCTCTAGTTTCGTTAATTTTTAAGCTTTTTGCAAATTTCAAACGAGATTTTAAAGAAAACAAGACCACCAACAACATCCAAAAAAAGTTTGTAAAAGAAAAAAAAATACAAGCAAAACAATTTTTCAAAAGTGTTTTTTTAAGTTTTATCATTCAAAATTCAAATGCGCATAACTTCGTTAAAAATAAATTTTATGAAATATAAAAAAAATACGTGTCTCCTTATTTTTTATACAGAATAACTAA